ATTTGAGTGTTGTGGTTTTATGTTCACAAAGATTTGTGCTTGCAAGGTTTAAATACACGATGGTTTGTGATGGCATGCAGGGTTTAAATACAAGATAGTTAAAACTATTTTTTTTTTCGATTCATTTGAAATTAATTGAGTTGTATCTCATTAGCAGCAAGAGATAGGAGCCCTTTCTTCTTTCCTCATTTGAGAAAAAATCACAGTTTGCTTTCCTCTACTCCAGAATTCATTCCACTACTGTGGATGGAACGGGCCCAGTGTACTGCTGTCCTTGAGTTGCAACGCACTAGTCATTACTAGTCATGTTTTGGTTTGTATTGCTTTTTGCGATATGCGTGATACTGAATGTATGTTATGTCACAGTGCGTTCATTTTGATTGTGGTTTGTACAAGACTCCATCATTTGAGTTCACTGTAATGAAGCTTCGCTATTATAAGCGATGTTCCAAGCATTCACTGGACATTATTTGCCGGGTAGACACTGATTGTTTGTGCACTTTTTTGTGATCATTTCATTGACTGTCGCGAACTACAGTCCCGAAAGTATTGTCCCATATGACTTTATTGCGCTTAGAGCTTTTATAAGTTGTGTAGTCATGCCATTGATTTTTATGCCATTTTGTTTGTGACAGCCCTACCAAAAAATCCGGTATAACTTTTCGTTATCCAGATTATGGAACCGGAAATTTATCGGGATTCTATCTGGACTCTAACTGGATTTTAGGTTTTCATAAATTATTCCTTTGTCTGCAATCTGGATTTCGGGTTTCCAGAAACAAATTTCCGGTTCCATAATCCGGATAGTGAAAAGTTATACCGGATTTTTCGGTAGGGAGCCACAATAAAACATCGTCATTGACTTTCAGAACTAGTGCCGTTTTCACCTATTATAAGACCCACCCTGGAGCATGTACTATCACACCCACAAAGGGTCATAGTACCTTCCTTTCAGGGGAAAAGTGATTCCATCAAGTGTACACTTAACCTGTAATAAGGTGGTAAACTGGGCCAGTTGGTTGATGTTATACATGATGGGGAAAACAGCTCAGAATGCGCGAACTACGAAGAACAAGCACGACAGGAGAGCACTGTCCTGTCGTGTTTGTTCTTCGTAGTACACGTTTTCTGAGCTGTTTTTCTTATCGGGTACTTTTAACCCCAATGTGCATCATGGTTTCCTCCATAAGGGTAAAAAGTCGAAACTAGGGGCGTGTACTATTGCCCCGTAAATGGGGCAACTGTTCCTTCTATATGGAGCGAAACCCAGCCCCCCCAAAGCAGGTGATGTTGCCTCCAAAAGGAGGTAAAAGCAGCCCCCTCAAATATGTCGTCTTACCTCTCAAGGGGGTTGTAGTTTCCCCTTAAAGGAGGTAAAAGCTGACTTTGAAAGGATGCACTTTTAACCTCACAAAGAATTATGGTTTCCTCCAAGAATCAGCAATGTTGCACCCTAACCCAGGGGTTAAGTTTACACCCTCGTTGCAGGGGGTAACGTTACCTCCAAAAGGGGTTGCCCTGTGTGCAACTCGCTTATTTCCTTAAGGAGGGTACTACAGAACACTTTTTTAAAGAGTGCTGGGCCACACGATCGATGCGGTTGGTGTGCTTCCTACCAACGACATGATCAAGGCGTCCAGAGAGTTGCCAGTACCAACGTCAAAAGCCACGCTGCAGTCGTTCCTCGGAATGATGACATTCTACGACAGGTTCATAGAAAACCGAGCAACTGTAGCCTGCGATCTGTACAGACTACTAGCCAAAAGCGTCCCCTGGCACTGGGAAGAGCGCCATGCCCTCGCTTTCCGGAAGTTGAAAGGGTTGGTACTTCGCAAAACAACGTTGGCTCACTACGATGAGTCAAAACCACTGCCTCTGTCCTGTGATTGGTCACCATATGGCGTCGGCGCATTTCTTGCGCAGGTCGACCACGAGGGCAGGGACGATCCAGTCGCATTCGTGTAAAGAACTCTAGGCGATGCCGAGAAAAATTACTCACAACTTGATCGAGAAGGATTAGCTGTAGTGTTTGGGGCGATGCACTATCATCAATACATCGCCGTACGAAGTGTCATTATTATCACCGATCACCAACACCGCTCGGCATATTGGGCCCGCAGAAGTCGGTACCACAAGTTTTGTCACCCCGAATTCGGCGACGGTGCGTCAAACTATCGGCGTACGATTACAAGCTCGAATACAGACCTGCAAAACGACACCAGAACGCTGACGTTCCAAGCCGTCTGCCCCTACCTAACAGTGACGATGAGCCTTGCTCACCAGGAGACGTTCTGATGATTGAAACCTTGACAAAGTTTTCCGCATACAGCAGAGAAGATAGTAGCCATGACATGCGCGGATCCGATTCTGTTCCACGTCTACGAGGCTGTGCAGCAAGGCAAACTTTATGAGCTCACAGAAAAGGACTTTACCGCGTACTGAAAAAAAAGGCACAAAGATGTCCACTCAAAGAGGATGTGTCATATGGGGATCCCGGGTGCTCATACTAGCCTTGGCACGTCCTGTATCTATTAACATGGTGCATGCCGAACACAAGGGAATTGTGGCCATGAAGTCATCTGCACGCAGCTATGTGTGGTGACTTGGCATCGATCGCGATGTAGAGGAAGCAGTTGGCAGCTGCCCCATCTGCCAAGAGTCCAAGAAGATACAAACCAAGGCACCGCTTCCTATGTGGGATAGCGCATCACTTCCTTGAGACACTCTACATTTGGACTTTGCAGGCCCTCTGCAAGGAAACATGTTGCTTGTTGTTGTAGATGCCCACACGAAGTGCCCAGAAGTGCGAAGCATGACTAATGCCGGATCTGCAGCGGTCATCAAAGTACTCCGAGGAATGTTTGCAACCTTTAGACTGCCTCGCAACTGTTTCCGACAAAGAAAGCGTCTTCTTATCCAAGCAGATGACGGACTTTCATGCCAAGAATGGCGTGAAGTTTATTACCAGTGCTCCGTATCATCCAGTGGCAAATGGCCAAGCCAAGCGCATATTTTACGAACTTAAGCAAAGTTTGACAAGAAAGAAAACAGGATCGGTGTCGCTGAGAATTGCTAGATTCCTGTACAAACAACACATCTCAGTTTGCAGCTCGACAGAAAAAACACCAGCACTCGTTGATGTTCAACGGGGAGCTTACTACCAACATCAGTAGACTTCCTCCTCATCCAGAAAGTAGTCACAAGGAACGAGCTACGGAAAAAACACCGCCGTCCAGGGTGTTCCAAGAGGGACAGGCAGTCTATGTCCTAAACTTCAAAGGAACCCTCAAATGGATCTAAGGAAAGTTGACCAAAATACCTGGAAGTCGCTCCTGGCTGGTGGAGACAGCAACTACAGGGTGTCACAAAAGAAAATATACACGGTCTTTTTTGCCGCAAAAATGAACTAGGCAAAGCCGAACGGTCATTCTCCGCCCAAAGGTAGTGCTAGAGGTAACAACCAGATGCCAAAGTTTCAGCCCGATCCGATAGCTTAGTCAAAATTAATAACTGATTTTCTGAAATTTTCAGTGGGAAAATGGCGGTCGACGGAGTTTTCAAACGCATGGGGCTCTATGGCAGCAGAAACCGAAAACGGGCAAAAATGGGCTTCATTTTCCCATTAATATTCTCAGAAAATTACTTATAACTTTTGATTAAGTTATCGAATCGGGCCAAAACTTTGGCATCTAGTAGTGACCTCTAGCTCTACCTTTGGGCGGATAATGAGCGTTCGGCAACGCCTAGTTCATTTTTGCGGTGAAGAAGACCGTGTAAGTTTTTTTTTGTGACACCCTGTAGATCAACCCGCCGCCACGTGAATCAAATCAGGCATCGATTTACGATATCGACTCCATCGGCTGAGTGGTCTGTTGCTGCTGCTGTTTCGGACTCCCAACGCGATCAACCTGCCGAGAGATCGTCATTGCAAAATAATTCCTAGACGACACCGAAACATACGACAGACGCCCGAAGCGGAAGAAGGGAGCAACCTCCAAGAAACACGCCCCCTCCAGAACGCTATGGGAGCTACATCTGAGGGGGAAGAGATGTTATGTACCGGCGCCACCGGCAAGTGGACTAAGCAGCCGATGCCGCGATCTTCGTGACAATCGCGTGCCAGCGAGAGCTCGGGCACTTGTTCCTGTACCGAGTACCGCGATGGAAGCACCGTCCACTCTAACGCTGGCAGCAAAGCTTTACTTATCAGGTTTCCAACACGGTATTCTTCACACGTCTGCAAAACGTGTTCGATCAATGTTCGTCCGGTAGAACTATACCCGTTTTCACCTTAAGAAAAGGTGGGTGTGTCCCTCTCGTCGCATGCTTATTGGTCGCATGCCGTCGCACATATTATTCCGTTCTGCGAAGTAGTTCCGATAAAAGTTTGCTCTCTGGGATGCTAGCGTTATAAAAGTTTAAATAAATTTCTTATTCTCAGTAGGATAAACAATACACCTCCTTAGTATACGCTTGTATTCACGTAATTCAACGCCTCACAAGATCTGAGGATCGATGTTCGTAGCCAGCCGGCCAGCCGCTGTTGCTCGCCTTCCAAAATGGCGACTCCAACAGCTCTGGCTGATCGGTCTGTGATGTCAGCACTTCTTCCTGAAGACGTTTCCCCTCGGGTGTACTACAAACGTCACGCAAGTGGAAATGTCCTGTCGAGCCAGACAAGGCAGTGTGTTTTGAACGTTTATTCTTGGATGCGGCGCCAGTACCAAGAAAAAAATGTTGTGGAAGTCATCAACCTCACTGCCGCCGCAACGGGGATCAGTGTTAGTTCGGTCTACAAGATCAAGCGTGGCTTCAAACGTGCCAACGGAGCTGTAAAATCTCCTTCAAAGAATCGCCCGAAATTCGCCGAGAAAAGGAAGAGGATTTCAAATCTCGACGCGTGCACTTTGACGGCCGTGAGAAGCTGCCTGCACAATTTCTTCCGTCGGGGGGAGATCCCAACGTTGAAGAAAATCGCCGCTCGTCTCCAAGAAGACGACATGCTGCCGTCCTGTTCCGGGTCTACCCTGTGTCGCCTGCTGAAGGACATGGGTTTCGAGAAACAGAAACGGAATCGCAACTCCTTCCTGATTGAGAGAGAGGACATCGTCGAGCGGAGGCGGCGGTATTTGAGGGCAATAAGAAAGCACAGAGCCCAGAACCGCAAGGTCTACTTCAAGGACGAGACTTGGGTGAACGCCGGCCTCACACTTGACAAGGTGTAGACTGACAGCACCATCAAGTCAGCAAGGCAAGCCTTCATGTCTGGATTGACGACCGGGCTAAAGGTTCCTTCTGGAAAAGGTGAAAGAGTGATTGTCTCCCACGCAGGTAGTGACACTGGCTTCGTGTCCGGCTGCTTGGACCTGTTGCGTGGGAAGAAGAAGGGGGACTACTACGATGAAATTGACTCGAACAGGTTCAAATCGTGGTTTCTTCATCTGCTGGACCACATCGAGCCTAACAGCGTAATTGTTATAGACAACGCCCCATACCACAGCAGAAAGGCTGAAGCTGTTCCCACAACTGCAACAAAGAAGGGCGAGATCCAGCAGTGGCTCTCTTCCAAGAACCTAGACTGGACTGCCACAATGAAGAAAAAAGACCTTCTGAGCATCGTGGCAACGGTGAAGGATCGCTACACAAAGTACAAAGTTGACGTCATGGCTACGGACGCCGGACACACAGTGTCGAGGCTCCCACCGTACCATTGCAAACTAAATCCCATAGAGTTGATATGGGCACGGGTCAAGCAGGAGGTCGCCTCTAAGAACATCACACTCAAGCCCAATGACGCCGAGCGGCTCTTGAGGGAAGCAGTGGACAACGTAACAGCTGTCCATTGGCATGACTGTGTAGAGCATGTGAAAAAAATGGAGGCGAAGTTTCGAGAATGTGATGTCCCAGAGTCGAACCTCGAGCCAGTCATCATACCCCTCGATGCAAGCGACACGGAGGAGGAGAGTGGATACGACGACGAAACTGACGACGAGGATGAGGGTGAAGAGATCTCCGGTGTTCAGCCTTTAGAATGGAATTGACCGTGAACTAATGTCCCTCTAGGACATGTTCTCTTCTGAAAGTGGCTAGAACTTTGGACTCTGTCATACCTCAAAACACAGAGCGGCCCTTTTAAGGACCATTCACATACTGCAAAATCGGAATCCCGACTTCATACACGCCTAACCTCCAGTGTCATGTTGTTGTCGTGATTCTACCTTTCATTACGTAATAGCCTTGTTCATGGCTTCTCGAGGTCTTTGAAATCAGCTGTATGTATCCCACTGTGTACAAAGATTCACACTACAAAAAAAAAAAAAGTTACAGTTGTACTGCACTCGCTAATTTGCCCATTACACAAAGGTGTCAGGCGCCCTTTTGTCCTTTTGCATTCTAAACATATACACATTCAATTACACTTTAAGGGTCGTTTTCATTCAAGAAAGAAGACGTAGTGTTGGCGGCATGCTGAAAGTTGACCATTGTTCTGAAATGTGACCCTGAGCTTAACATTTCACTTGCCCACCTCATGGATATTCAGTGTCGCTTACACCTCATTTTGGGGTCTGAACATCATGTTCAGCCCAGTATTTCATTGAGATATCTCCTTTATTGCAGTGATCAGGTCCCCAGGCGGTTTGTGGGAAAGTAAACTCACAAAATGCCATCCACATGCCTTGGGGTCGCTCCGGCAATAAACGTATATCTCATCCACCATGCTGTTTCAGATTATAATCGGGATTCTTATCGCCATCCTTACACAGGGCCACTTGGCAACAAGGAGAAGCTTTGATGGGATTCTGGAAGAACGTATCTCACATAAACCATGCTGTTTTTGCTTATAATCAGGATTTGTACCACCTTCCCCACACCACGGAACTTAGGAAAACGGAATTAAAGAATAAAAATTGAAATTCACCGCGACACACAAGGAAACCGATTGCCCACTCAATACATACATATGAACGTCAACGCAATAACGTAAACAAAGGTATATTATGACAGAATAAACTATGCAAACATAGGTTCGTGGCTGGTAGCAGGTCTGATCAATCCCAGTTCATCAGGTTTGCGGCGATGTCGATGATTTCCGCTGATCTTTTTGCTTTAGCGCTCCATGGTTGCCGTTAAAAACTGTAAATGCGCTAAAACTGGCCCGTACTGATTTTTTTTTCTCATAGTGTTTTTAGAAAGCCGACGGTATAAACAATGTTAGATATACAAAGATATGTTTATTGAAGACAGTTTAAAGAAGCGATGCAAAATTGTGCAGAGCATAATCATGTTTATCAGAAACAAACGCTATTTAACGAGGTATGTTCTAGCTTTTTGCCACTAGAGGAGTCTGCAGTGCTAAATTTGTTTTGGTTTCGGTCTCTAATTGTGGATCCCACCACCTCCCGACGGAGAGTGGTTAAGTCTACGCGATATCGCGGCATTTCATTGGTGGAAACCCAGAACACTCCGCCAGCAGCCGGACTTGTTTTACTTCGGTTCTTAAAATGAAAACGAGTATAGAAGACAAGTTTTCAGGATTTCTCAAACGAAATTCGCTGCCACATCGTAATGAACGGAAATATCAAACGCAGTAGCCCTTTTGTTACTATTGTTCAAAAGCTTAACAGTTATCTTAAAGTTAAAGCAGAAAAAACATAACAAAAAAAAAAGGGATTTCGCGCTTTAGTAACTGTGGCATGTTTTTGGTTTCTGGAACATTGTAACCATGGCATGAATCGATGGCAACCATAGCGGAGGAAGACTGCAAACAATCCAAAGGGAGTCCCCTAATAATATGAAAACTAAATCGGTTTCCGAATGCAATGTAACAAAATATACAAAACATATGAATAACACGCCTTCTGGTCTGTCCAACTCAATGTTGTTTTTCTATGTGTGTATCTGAATAGGGAACAAAGAAACGGAGTATATTCCGATAAAATCATTTATTTGTCAAATAATAAAAAAAATGGGAGCGCAAATAGTTGAAGGTGATTGTTTAGATCAGCTTTATTTTGGTCGCCCGTGCAGTCTAGGAGCGACTAACTTAAGCACAACCTCTTGAAAGATCGACCGTTAGAAAAACAAAGTCCTCTTCGTTGAGTTTGCCCCGGTTGCTCGGCGGCAGAAATATTCATTCCGAACATAAATTATTCTTCAAAGCAAAACCCAATCTAAATCAAGAGTTAAATATCTATTAGCAGCAAGGCTCGCCATTAATTGCTTCCATACCCTGTCACCCTACCTTTTTCCGAACCATTTTTACTAGGGCTGGGCGTCGATTAAAAATTTTAACCCGATTAATCGCTACCCTTTAATCGATTAATTAATCGAATAATCGGTTGACTTTAGTAAAAAGCAAAAGTAGACATTTTGTCCTTACAATTTGTTTTATTGTATGATAAACGGCGGATATATACAAACTTAATTGAGAATAAACGTTGATGTAACGCACTCACAGATCACAACCCCAGCTGCGGAGGCAAAGAAGTTTGTTGACATTTTCCGGCAGGAGCAAGTTTCTTTGTTGACGATCATCCCTGCTGCACTGAACAGACGCTCGCTGGGCGTTGAGGTGACTGGGACACACATCACACTCTTCACAATTGGCACAATTTGAGGAAACAGGGAGCCCCGAGCTCGCCACCACTGTAGTGGGTCCAGTTCATCGTCCGTCACCTCGGCCATCGATCGATAAAGCGACACTTGGCAGGAGAGGGTGGGTTCTTCAGTTTCCTCCGAGAAAACGTATTTTCTTTTTTTCTTGGGCGTTAGATCAGTAGAATCGTCCGAAGACGCATGTGTTAGCTGGGAAAGCCTTTCCCACACAAGTTCGCGGCGATCTTTTTCGATGCATGCGAGGCTCTTGAAACGAGGATCGAGACACGTTGCCAGTTCATAGTCATTGTATTGCGGCCACGCGCGAAGCCTCTCATCGATAGAGTCCACCTGCATGGCCTTGAAGCGGCAGTTGAAGGCAGGGTCACAGTCATTCGTCTTCATTTTATTCTTCAGCAGTTTTAAGGCTGGAATAAGTACAGACCGAGTAACGTACTTGTCCCCTCCAAGGAGCTCAGTAAAGTCGAGCAGGGGCTTCAAAACTTCCCGAAGCTGCTCCAACATGTCCCAATCGACGTCTGTGAGGTGGGGAATCGACGATTTAATGGTACTGCTGTCCTCCATGGAGCGGCGCAAAGGCTCCTTCAGTTCAAGCAGGCTGGTTATCATTATGTACGTGCTGTTCCACCGTGTTGCGATGTCCTGCTGAAGCTTCTTCTTAGGTGCTCCGAGTTCAGCGGCATGTTTTGAAAGGACGGCCTGGTTGTTCGAACTGTGCTTAAAGTGACCCACAGTACGACGACAGGCGGCTAGCAGTCGCTCCATACCCGTCACGCTGAGCGCCTTGTGGACGTACAGCTGAAGCGTGTGAGCTGCGCACTTCAGACTCTGAAAGTTTGCTCTCTCCACCCCAAGACAGATGTTGCGGGCGTTATCGGTACAGACAGCTTTTACCTTTTCAACGATTCCCCAATCTGTAGCTGTCTACAATACCTCACTGGCACATTGTTCCGCTGTATGGCGCTCAGGTACGTTTCTCACCTGCAATGTTGCCGATCGAAGCATCCAGTCGTCGTCGATCCAATGCGCCGTTATCCCGAGGTAAGCGTCATTGCCGATGGAGGTCCAGAAGTCCGCTGTTAAGCTGATGAAGCTGGCTGCCGAGAGTTCTGCTTGAAGACGCTCCCGTCTCGAGGTATACAGGGCATCCACCTTGGCACTCACTGCACGACGGGACGGCGGCTGGTAAGACGGAGAATCCAAGGCTATCTGAAGAACTTTCGCTAGTCCGTGATCTTCCACAATGTTGAGAGGCCGGCTAGAAGAAACAAGCCAAGATGTAAGAGCTTGTGCAATAGTTTCTTCTTTCTTCAGAGAAACCGGCCTCGAAGAGAAAACGTCGATAGTCGTCTGCTTTTTTGCAGATGATTCTTGTTGCAGCGAGATGCTTGGGTGCTTAGCTCTGAGATGGTATTGAAGCGAGCTTACACTTCCGCTATATGCGAAAGCTTTTTTGCAGATGAGGCAGTGAACTTTCTTTAAGCCAAAAACTTCGCCCGCGGAGTTTACTTTAAACCCGAAATTCCCTGAAAGGTTGCCCTTCAAACTCCTGTATTCGTCCATGCCTGCGCAGGGTGTTGTGATGAGATACTTCTCAAACAAGTGACTGCGGCGCGACATGAAGGGAAGAGGAAAGACGGGGGCAAGGGAGACGGGGATAATTGGGGAGCGTCGATCCGTCGAGGACGTCCCTGAAGGTGTTATAGGAGTAGTACATGAAGGACAAAAACAGGATGAAACATCTTCGTCGTTCATGTAACTTTAAGGCCCGTTCACACTCTTGCGACCGAGTGCGACCGAGCACGAGACGAGTTCTCTTAAAACTTGTTAAATGTTTTTAAAATGAGGGAACAAACTGGCATTGTGGCGCCATCTATGCGGTGACCCTGGAACTGCATTTCACAAGAGCGAAGGTTTTGCGGGATTTCCGAGGTCAAATGTGCGTAATACCCATAGAAAGGCTCGTTTATAACATTGACAAAAGTGTTTCGAGCCAAAAAAGAAAGGATAATGCGCGAGAAATAAAAAAAAATATGCCGGACCGCCGAGTTTACACTGCTTCCCAATAGATGGCACCAGTGTGTTTTCTGGTTTAAGAAGTTGTAAGGAACCTAGGTTTAAGAGGTCGCAAGAGTGTGAACGGGCCTTTACCCGCACGCTCTAATTCCACGACGTCCTTGAAGCTTTCAACAAACAGAAAATCCCCGGCGAAGGAAAGGCCCCTTTTTACGGGGAAAAGGGAAACGAGCCCATCCGGCTGCGCGCGGCGCCAACTCGTCAAAGACGACGAGAGAACGGGGGAACATCTGGAAGCACTTTGCCACGGGCAGGCAGGTCCGCCAAGGTCGTTGCGTCAAGAGGCAAAAGCGACGCCGAGAGAGAAATTCCAACCACACAAATAAAACACAGGGTCGAATACTGAAGC